ATCAGCAATTATATAAGAAAAAGAATATTCACTATATTCAAAATTATCTTGAGAATAACTCAACAAAACTTTCATGACATTTTTCATAACATACCTGGAGTTTCAAATCAATACCTCAGACACAAAACAAACCATATCACTTGAAAGTTGTGTGCATATAAAAATAAATAAATAAATAAACACTTCACTTAGGAAAGGGTTAAGTGAATTTCAATGACAATCGTTGTGGAGGCAGAAATGGTTAACCTGGAAAACAGGACCTTGTTACTGTTGTGGATATTAATTCCTTCTCCATATCAGTTATGTGCTGTACGTGATAAACGCTAAGGCAATCATGCATCTTTCAATACATGACTGATGAGGCAGATTTTTTCCCACAGTAGGTTGCCATTTCCATCCACTTGACCATCCAAGGCTATAGAACCCAGTCTATTTATCCATAGCTAGTGGGAGAAGAAGAGGATTCATACCTTTCCCAAGGCTATTAGTACATGAATGAATGTAACGGATTCAACTGGAATTCAAACTCGGCTCTCCAATTCCTCAATCCGAGCTGCTATCCATTCAGTCAGTTATGTGCCATGTGTGGTACATGCTTAGGTGATCATGCATCTTTTAATACATGACTGATGAGGCAGATTTTTTCAAGTAGCAGGTTGCCATTTCTTTCTGCTGTAGACCAGTTGCCATCCAAGGCTATAGAACCCAGTCTGTCCTGCCATACCCATAGCTGGAGGGAGAAGAAGTGAATTCATATCTTTCTCAAGGGTATTAGCACATAAGAAAATGCAATTTCTCAATCCAAACTGCTATCCATGCCTCCACATCAGCAAATGTAAATTCAAGTAAAAAGAATACACAGAGTATGGGTAAATAAATGTATAATCAATTTACTTATATACAAAACTAGTAACTTTTATCTGTTGTTTTTGCTAAGACAACAGGAAGAGAGAATGGTGAAATTAGAAGTGAAATAGATGTTGCTAATGGTTGTCATTGTTAGTGCCACTTGTCTCTCAGCATGCCAGTGTTGACATGAAGGCTGGTTTGTCACTCAGATTTCCACTGTTGATGTTCAAGTTGATCTGTGTTGAGTTTGTTTTGAAATAGAGAATATATATTGACCAGCTATGTTATGACACAGAATGCCTCCCTAATGACCTTCTGACCTTGATTCTGGACCGTGAGTGTTGGTATGATAGACTCATGCATGTCTGAGCTAGCTTGAATGAATAATATAATAAATAAGTCTATAATAACATATTTGGAGTTTCAAAATCAATACCCCATCCAGAAAGAAGGCAGTATCTTGTGCATGGACAAAAAAATGAATATTGAACATTTGACAAACATGGACAAACGTGCCCTCACTAAGATCGTGTGTCAAAATGTATAAATTCTATTCCAATTCTAATCATTACTTTTTAAAACAATAAATGTTGCTAAAGAATGAAGGTTGTTAAAAAGCAGTTTCATGGGAAAAACCATCCTTTTAACACTATGTCTTATTGCAGGCATGTTTGTCCATGCTGAACCTTTTTTAGATGAAGCAGTGTCAAACATTATTGTTTGATTCCAATCAGAATCACTGCAAAACACTCCCCCACCCCAATTTATAGGCAGAAGCACACAAATGGATGCTGGAATTTCTTCCTAGCCAATAAAATACACCAGTTCTCAGTTTCATCTGACTCAGTCCCAATCTGTCTTGTTTTAAATTAAGAACACTACGTTCACTTATCCAAGACTCAATCCCCATTCTTAGTTTGTGAACTATTTGCCTTATTACTGTTGCTTTGCCTTATTACTGTTAATTTGCCTTGCATATATTGTTTGCTTGCTTTATATCATTTTTACCCTGTTCTTTTTCATGTTATTGCTTAGACAAATACTTATTTTGCATATGACCATGGCTACTCATGTGACAAACTAAAATTAAAATAAGAGAATTGCTTGTCAAATATTTAATAATGGCTGATCCTATTTCATCTCATAATAAAATTCAAAACATTATTACTCCTAATAATTCTATTAGTATAAATGAATCTGCTATAATTAAGAAATACTTTGTTGATTGAACAACTGCAGTTGGGATCATAGAGATATTGGAAAATCTACCATCCTTCTTTAGCTGCCTAGTATGTGCTTCACCAGGGCTACATATGGTTTTGAATTCAAAGTTCTTATTCTTGTAGACTGGTTGCCAACCAAGGCTAAAGATCCCAGATTGTCCTACTAGTTAACCATGGAGGAAAAGGAGATGGATTCACATGTTTCCTAATGGTATTCATATAAAAATGAATGTAACAAAATTTGACTGGCTTGGTTCAATCTATTCCTCATATTTTTTCATTTTTTATTTTAAAGAAATGCCAGTCAAAGATTAGTAATTGTTACATAAAGATTGTTAATTAAAGCTTTTTAATAGTTGTACAATAGCAGTTATTGATTGTCATCTTCATATTTTTCTAAATATGAAAAATGTTTTTTTCTTCATAAAAGTCCAACCTTTGTCAAGTCAAAATGGCTGAGGTTTTGTGGGGCTGAGTGAGTCATACTTTTTTAAAATTACTCTCTAGTCCAGTGTTTCTCAACCTTTTTACCCTTGTGTAACCCTTAAAATAAATTACATGTCTCAAGGAACCCCTGCGCCAGAACAAAATTACATACCATACCTTTTTCATTTTATTTTCATCGTCGGAGATCCTGTGGTAAATATCATAGTATATATTTTTGAAAAACTGGTTTAAGGAAAAATTAATTCTTCTTTGTCAAATTTTTCGGTAATGTTAAATAAAATTTATACTGTTCATTTATAATACTTCATCAGGGAGTTTTAATTTACAAAAAAAAAATTCTAAACTGAAACGTAAAAAATAAACATAAATAACCAATATATACCTATAAATAACCAATATATACCTATAATATAAATGTAAACAGAATGTAAGCAGTAATATTACGTATATGAAATTAGATAAAAAGTCAAAAGTGCATTAACTTATCTCACCTGTTCTCATGGAACCCTTGGAGACCTTTTGCAGAACCTTAGGTTTCTGGGGAACCCCTGTTGAGAAATGCTGCTCTAGTCAGATGTTTCCTTTCTACACATTTGGGGGTCAAGTTAAAAATCTAAAATCTCCAAAAAATGTAATGAAACATTGGGAGAAATAATTAATAAAATAGAATCAGATATTAAAAAAACTGAATAAGAATTAAAATGGAGTCAGATATTAAATCAACCACAGTTGGGGGTCAGAGAGTCATTGGAAATTTGACTATCTTTTCCTTAGCTGTATTGTGTTAGTCCCACATTACTTTGGGACTAACATGAATAAGAATGAAAACTTTATTAACATTTGATACAGTTTTAATTTATTTATGTTTAAAAACATGAATACCACAATTAACATAAACACAATGTCCTTTCCTATATATAGAGAATATGTCAGACGGACTTACCCATCTGGGGAAGGGTAATAGAGACAGACAACTTGTATCTTTAAACCCTTGGTAACTGGTACCATGGTGGCAGAAAGTATTCCTTACATGTCTCTTCAAAGCAGGTCCAAATCTCTTCTGTTCATGGTCAGCTTTTTCTAAACCCACATGGTTTAATTAACCAATGAGAGACTGCTTCATATCATGTGACCTATCTCTATATATGAGAGCAGACGAATTTTACAGACCAAACAGCTGTATAGTATGTGCTTTGTCAGGGTTACATACAGGTTTGAATTCAGAATTGTACATCTCCTAGACTGGTTGCCAATTAAAACTTAAGAGCCCAGTTTGCCCTACTATTTAACCCATAGATTGGGATTTCCAAGCGCACTTGTTTGAAAGTGAATATAATGAAACTTGATTAGAATTTGAACTCAGTTCTGATTTCTCATTCTAAGTAACTGTCCATTAAACAACAAATGCATCCTAAAATGGATATTTTAATCAGACATTATTTCTATCATTTATTATAAATCTTATATTTAGTGGGGTCACATGTTTGAGTTGCCATAGTTCTGAGAGATAAGCCGGCGTTATATAAGCACTGCTGTCAACAAGCTGTCTCACAGTAAATCACTGAGTGATTAAATATTAAATATTATTTATTATTAAATAAAGCAGTGATATTTGGTTTCATGCCTTCCACAGGAGTTTTAGCAGAAAATGACAGGTGACAAATTCAAAACTGTTTTCTTGCAAATATTCTACTTGCTGGGTTATCCCCACCGTATATGTCTATGTGTAACTTACACATAAAAGTATATACAGATACATTCGCATTACTGACACATGTATTCACACATATGCACATTGCACGAAGATATCATTAAACACATTTCAAGCCATTAGCTCTTGAAATAAATAGGTGGGGATACTTATTAACAAGGAAATAAATAAATGAATAAAAGTTTTTCCTTGCTTTCTTTTTAGTTTTAAGTGTTGTTGTTCTTTTAAAGAAGAAAAAAAGAAAAAAATAAATAAATTTTACTCATTTTCTCCCATCATCATCCTGAGGGGTGTCTGTCCCCACCCTTTTCCTGGACCAGAGCCTCAAAAATCTGTACTACTCAATACAGAAAACAATATACAAAACAAAGAATTATAATAGACAAAAGTCGCCTACAGCAAAATGTTTTTTTAAAGACGATGGAAGAATCTTGGTGAATCAGATGTGATGTGTTTAAAACGAGAAACCTTTTTTTTTTTTTTTTTTTTTTTTTCGGGTGGAAGGATTGAGATTTTTCTCAGAAAGACATGTCAAGTTAGCAACATCATTAAATTGTCATCTAGCCTGTGGCTATGAAATCTGCAGTCCATGTTGATGCAGACAGTGGTGACAAGGAAAACTCTGCTATTTTTCCACTTCGCACTTTTCCCTTCATTACCAAATCATTGGCTTCTTTTAACATTTCCCTCTAATTAGCCAGATTCGTTCAGGGTGAGGAATTCTTTCTTTGGCATTTTGGTTTTATTAACAGGAAGGCATCATCATTGGAATGAATAATGTCATTGAATTTATTTTTGTGTTCTTTTTTTTATTGTTTTCTTGTTTTAAAAGTTTAACAACTGCTTTTCAATTCTTCATATTTTTCTTCTTTACCATTCTTTGTTCTCAATCTTTCTTTTTCTTCTTCTACTCTTCCAAATTTTCCAATTTTTCTTTTATTCTTACCAACTTTCACTTATTTCTTTGTCCTAATTTTTCAAATTCATTTTTCTTTCCTAGTGTTGTCTTTCTTTCTCATATTTTTATATTCTTCTTTTTGCCCCCCGCCCCAATTCTTCCCTTTTTTCTCCCTTCTATCATTTACTCCATAATTTATCACATCACGTTTTCTTGTCTTTTCCTTTTCAAATTCTTCCCTATTTCATTCTTTTCTTTCTTTCACTATTTTTTCCTATCATTTTTATGCTTCCATACATTTCATCATTCTTCCTTTTACTTATCTTCTTTCAATCTCTCATTCATATTCTTTCTCATTCATACTATATCTTGTTCATAGTCACATTCATGCTTTCATTCATTTTTTTTCTCATTCATGCTCTCATTCATTCTTTCCATTTCTCTCTGTCACTCATACTCTTATTTACTTTCCCTTTCCTTCACATTCATGCTCTCTTCATTCTTTCTCATACATCCATCCTCTCATTCATTCTTTCCTTTTCCTTCTTTCTCATGCACTCATTCATTCCCTCTTTCTCTCACATTAATGCTCTTATTCCTTCTTTCCTTTTCCTTCTTTCTCTCACATTCATGCTCTCATTCCTTCTCTTTCCTCCTTTATCTCGCATTCATGCTCTCATTCCTTCTCTTTCCTTTTCCTTCTTTCTCTCGCATTCATGCTCTCATTCCTTCTTTCCTTTTCCTTCTTTCTCTCGCATTCATGCTCTCATTCCTTCTCTTTCCTTTTCCTTCTTTCTCTCGCATTCATGCTCTCATTCCTTCTCTTTCCTTTTCCTTCTTTCTCTCGCATTCATGCTCTCATTCCTTCTCTTTCCTTTTCCTTCTTTCTCTCGCATTCATGCTCTCATTCCTTCTCTTTCCTTCTTTCTCTCGCATTCATGCTCTCATTCCTTCTCTTTCCTTTTCTTTCTTTCTCTCATTCATGCTCTCATTCCTTCTCTTTCCTTTTCTTTCTCTCACATTCATGCTCTCATTCCTTCTCTTTCCTTCTTTCTCTCGCATTCATGCTCTCATTCCTTCTCTTTCCTCCTTTCTCTCGCATTCATGCTCTCATTCCTTCTCTTTCCTCCTTTCTCTCGCATTCATGCTCTCATTCCTTCTCTTTCCTCCTTTCTCTCGCATTCATGCTCTCATTCCTTCTCTTTCCTTTTTCTTCTTTCTCTCACATTCATGCTCTCATTCCTTCTCTTTCCTTCTTTCTCTCACATTCATGCTCTCATTCCTTCTCTTTCCTTTTTCTTCTTTCTCTCGCATTCATGCTCTCATTCCTTCTCTTTCCTTTTCCTTCTTTCTCTCACATTCATGCTCTCATTCCTTCTCTTTCCTTCTTTCTCTCACATTCATGTTCTCATTCATTCTCTTGCCTTCTTTCTTTCACATTCATCCCCTCATTCATTCATTCATTTCTTTCTTTCACATTCATGCTTTCATTTATTCTTTCACTTTTGACATTTTCATATTTTTGTACTTACAATTTTTACTCTTTCTTTGATATTTTCCTTTTTTTCCTTCTTCATTTTAATTATTTTTTTCTTCTTTTTGCACTTTTTTCTGACCTTCATATCATTCATTTATCATTCACTCAATCCTTTACTAGGTGCTAGAGATTAGTGTTCTAGACTAAGTATAGGTCAGCATTTTGAATATTAATTTACAAAGCAAGGAGGCACTCCTTACTTAAAACATTGGCTCAACACAATCTTTGTCAACACTTATCTTGTTTGGCCTTATTAGTAAGTTAAACTATAGATATAAAAGAGAAAATAACTATTAAGAGAAAGAGGAAAGGAATAATAAATAAGAACAGAGAGAGAGAGAATAATAGAGAAGAACAAAGAGAGAGAGAGAGAGAGAGAGAAGTTAGAAGAGAAGGAAGTTAAATAAAAAAAAGAGAAAATAATGAAGGCGAGACAGAGGAAGAGAAAAAGTAAAAAGGATAGGGAGAAAATATAAGAGAAATAAAGTGGAGAGAAAAAGGGAAAGAATAATAAATAAGTACAGAGAGAGAGAGAGAGAAAGAGAAATAGTAAATAATGTGTGGAAAGAGAGAATGAGAGAGGGAAAGAGAAAAAATAGCAAATAATGAGTGGAGAGCGAGAAAGATTTATAAAGAAGAACAAAATGAGAGAGAGAGAGAAGTTAGGTTAGAAGGAATTTAAATAAAAGAAATAGTAAATAATGATAGGGAGAAAAAGACGAAGAACAAGGATAAAAAGGGTAGAGAGAAAAGACAAGAGAAATAAATAACAAGAGAAAAAGAGAAAGAATAATAAAAAGGGAGAGAGAGAGGATAAGAGAGAGGGGGAATAGAAAGACAAGATAAATAGCAAATAATAAGTTGAGGGTGAGAAAATAATAAAAAGGAAGAGAAAGAAGAGAGAGTGAGAAAAGAGAGAGAGAGTGAGGAGAGAGAGAGTGAGGAGAGAGAGAGTGAGGAGAGAGAGTGAGGAAAGAGAGAGAGAGTGAGGAAAGAGAGAGAGAGTGAGGAAAGAGAAAGAAGAGAGAGTGAGGAAAGAGAGAGAGTGAGGAAAAAGAAAAGAAAGAGCAAAGAAGGTAAACAGAATGAAATAAGGAGGGAAAGAGGCATGAAGACTGATTTTTGTTCCTGGAAGCCAGCAACCATTAACAATACCATTTAGTTTACCTGGAGGGATGAGGGGAAAGCATTAAAAAAATGTCTTTGTGAAGGAATAGTTTACAGTAGCCATATTGAGTCAAAATAAAAAAAAAAATAAAAAAGTGTTGGTTAAATTAGATTTTCTAAAAAAATCCCAGAAAAAGTTTGTAAAATCAATTGAAAACAGACTTGGAAAAAAAAAAAAAAAAAAGAAATTAAGGAAAAAAAAAAGAAAAATTTAAAAGAATGGCAAACAGCGTTATTAAATTTTAAATTTCACTACTTGTGACATTCTGTGTTACTAATGATAAAAAGAGTGTGTGTTGGTTGTATGACAGTTATTAGTGCAGATATTAGAATCAGAAAGCATAGTCAAATTCTAGCCTAGTCTATTCACAAGTGCCCTTGGGAAAGGCATGAATCCATTACTTTGTCTACCAACTACAGATTAAATAGAAGAATAGTCTTTGATTGCCAGGTTCATGCTCTGCACCAGTCTTTTGAACAGGAGTAGAGTTTAATCCCCTGTTTCTTGTTTAGGATTGTGTCTGTGGTTCCTTCTAAAGCAATGGTTCTTAAGTTTTTTTGAGTAATGGACCACTATAAGAACTAGCCTTCATAGACAAACAAATAAGCAGATACTCACAGTCTGATTGGGTTTTCACAACACTTGCACATGCATTTTTCTATACTGCACCTTCATGCACACTGCACACACATCACTTTTCAGTCAGCAACATTTAAAAGAAATTGTGGTCAATTAATCCTCATATAAGAAGATAATCAAACCATGATAAACCATGAAAAAGGAGAATTACTACTTGCTCTTATGGATTGATTTGGTTTATTTTGTTTTACGGCTTATCAACCTCAATGGGTTATTTAATGCCAACAACATTTTTAGGATAGATTCATATGAATAGAATATGTATTCTTTGGTTTAGATTGGTTTGGTTTATTTTGTTTTACGGCATATCAACCTCAATGGGTTATTTAATGCTGACAAAAATTTTTATTGCTGGTAATATTTTGTTTTGTCAAAAATTTGTTTCTGGTAATATATTTCCTTCAAAATTGTATTGCTGGTAATAGTTAACTATAGTTGGGACCCTAACAGGTGCTACCACCCCGGGTCAGGGTGGACCTGGGAACACCAGCAATTAAGAGGTAGTTCCATGCTCCTCAAAACCTCCTGATCAGAGGCCTTGCTGCTGGACGTAGTTTAACGTCATACCCAGGACGCTTGCTCTAACGGAGTGGCAAAAGATGGTGGTCATGTAGAGAATGATGACACACATATAAATTGTAAACATGGACCTAACAGCAAGTGAAGAGCCACCTAGTGGTTGACATTGTCAGTAGTGGCTGGGTGCATTTTATTTCAAGCAGTGGCAGGATGCATTTTCTTATATTACTTCCAATGGAAAATTCTTGATTGGGATAAGAGCTGTATCGTGAATATAAATGTTAATTTTTATCTGATACTCACTGAAATCCATCCCTAGTGGTTTGTGAACCCCAGCTTAAGAAACAGTCTTAAAGTCTTTGTTCTCTTTCACACCCAGTAACCCCTTGCATCTCAGTGGCATTATCATGTTTTTTGAGGTGAAATGAAGAAAAACAAAAGCTAGTCTGGGAAAAAGGACAATTCTAAATTGAAAAACTACAAAACAGGAAACTTCACCAGTACCTTTCCCAAGAAAGCATAGGAATTCCCAGATAAGAATTTGAGAGCCATGAATGTCTACATTCTGAAGGTATGGTATTCAAAATAATACAAATAAAAACAAATAAAATCAAATTATCAAATGATGCTTTCAGAGGATCAATATTTGATGACAATATTAAGTGGGGGATCAGTTTTGCTTTGTATTCCTGTTATAAACAGATCCCCCACTTTTTGTTATAGATTTTGCCCCTCCTTTTTTTTTTTTTACAATGATTTTCATCCTATACAAGCCCTGGGAGCCAACCGAGGTAAAGGTTTACTGAGCAAGTTTATGTGGGGGGAGATAACCTGTTCAAGTCTAGGTTTAAGTGATCAGGGAAGCCTCCTCTTGGGAGTCAGTTGCACAGAACAGCATTTCTTGGGAAGATTATGCTTGAGTGGAACTTACATCTTACCAATGGAACACAAAGGAAATAATGAGGGTGGTTCACTATAATGTAAATGGCATGGTAACCCAATTTTCACTCTCCAGTCGTAACAGTGTTCAAAGTCATTTACATGGCTTTGTAAAAGATGCCATATTTTCCACTCTGCAGCGCCTCTCCTCACAGACACAATGTCACAAGCCTATCACTTCTCTGTCACCATTTCCATGGCAAATGTTCAGATAAGCTTCATTCTTTAGTTCCACTAGTTCAGACATTTACAGCCAAGTCCAACCTTGTTACATTCACACGGTTGAATCACCCTCATTCCCCCTGTGTATCCTATTGGTAAGAAGGATGTTCTACTCAGACAGCTTCTTCATAAGAACACTATAAAAGTCTAGAATCAATTGTTATCTATCCACCTTATCCTCCAAATGTTCACTTCCATCTCTTATGTTCATATCATACACATACACTATTCAGTACCTACCTACCTTGAGTGGTGCTAGTATTGGGGTAACTTTGGTTAAAAAACAAAACTTGTAAGCAGGGTTGCTATATATGGAGACTTTTGAAAGCTAAACAGTACTAAATATTGAATTTTGTTACATTTGATGTTTGGGCTCTACTTTTAAAAAGCTAGCCTAACTTGGGCAACTAATGAGAAAGTCAATTCAAAATTTAATAGCACTATGCTTCAAACAAAACCAAAGTAATAGTCATCTGGGTGTCAGTTTGGTCAGCAACATTTACTATTAGCTGAAAGATGGATCTTATTTCACAATCAAATTACAAAAGAGATCAAATCAGATGACTAGATCTAATTGTTGTATGCAGAGAAAAAAAACAAATTAGATTCCATGTTTTTTTGAAAACCAAGTGCTGCCAAATTTTAAATTTTGAAACATGTGCCTTGGGGATACTTTTTAACCTTTAGCAATCTGTATGACTTCATTTGTCAAACAAAATATTTGTACAACCACTGCATGCAACTCTGATCATCAGACAATAGTGTGGTTGAATTTAGTGTTGTCATATCCTACTATGGCAACAGAAAAATGACAAACTGAAAATTGAAGATAATGTTACTGTAGTTGTCTGGCCACTTATACCCAATGGATGAAATATTTAGGAATATTGCAGAGTGATAAAGGTTAGTATACATTGGCCTAATCTAAACTATAAATCCGACAAACCTTAATTAAAAATTTAATAGTGCTGGACTTTTAAATATAGCCCAATTCAGATTAGAGTATTTTTTAAAAGACCAGTACTACTAAATTTTGAATGTCAGTACATGTGACGTTTGGGATGGGGGAGTCTACTTCTAAAATAAGTGGAACTAACTTTGATTACTAATGAGAAAAAAAGTCAATTCGTTGCTTGTATCAGTTGTTATTGATTTTTTTTTTTTTTTTACAGCTTTGCAGATTATTTAAAGCCAAAAAATATTTTAGATTCTCGGAATTTTTCGGAGATAAGAATTTAATGATACAAGTCTTACTTAATTAACTGCAGGGAAAAGAGATGGATTCATAGCTTTCCCAAAGGTATTCACACATAAGTGAATATAACGAACCTGACTGGAATTGGAACAACTCTCAGGCCACATCATCATGAAATACTGGTTTTTGTACAATCACTGAAGTTAACCAATGTTGAGCTTAGTCAGTACCTAGTCTGGTGACCGCTTAGGAATACTAGGTGTTGTAATGGAAAAATTCTTGGAACTGTTAATCAGAGAGTTGAGTTAAATTTCAGCTGAGTTTGTTATATTCACTTATGCACAAATACCCTTGAGAAAAGATATGAATCCATTTCTCTCCCTAGCTATGGGTTAATTAGTAAGACTTGTATCACTAAATCATTATTATCTTTAAAAAAAAAAAAATTCTAATAATCTAAAAATATTTTCTGGTTTTAAATAACCTGCAAAGGGTTGATAAGCCGCAGAAAATGAATCAATCAATAAATGAAATATTGATTAGCTACACAGGCATGTCTTTTAGATTTATTTACATTCTCTGGAATATAAATGTATAGAAAGTACATTGGCCACAAAGTGAGGAATCAGTTTATATATTGATTTTGATATAGATTTCATCCCCCATTTTACATCCTTATAATTTTTTGTTTGTTTATCAAATTCTGATTAGGCATGAATCCACCTCTTCTCCCCCTAACTATGGGTTAATTAGTAAAACTTGTACCACTAAATCATTATTATCTAAAAAAACAAAAAAAAAAACAAACATTCTTATAATCTAAAAATATTTTCTGGCTTTAAATAACCTGCAAAAGGTTGATAAGCTGTAGAAATCAAATCAATCAGCTCTGATTTCCAATTCCAAGCAGTTGTCCATTACACCAAATGCACATCCAAGCTTACAGCAGCAAGTATTCCCAAGCAGCTACCCATCTAGGTACTAATCAGGCTCAATGTTGCTTAACTTTGCTGATTGTATGAGAACAAGTGTTTCACTTGAATGTCAGTATTTGATTAACAGACAACTGAATATTAAATGGGGGATCAGTTTTGTTTTAAACCAAGTTGCAAACAGATTCCCTACATTTTTTGCCATGGCATAATTCCATACAATTCTCTATAGTGGGCTTGATGGTCAGATTTAAATATTTTTGAATGTTCAGTATTACTAAATTTTGACTATCAGTATGTGTGACATTCGGGAGGGGGGGTCTACTTTTAAACAAAGTGCAGCTAAGTTGGGATACTAATGCATGGAAAATCAATTCAAAATTTGGTAGTGCCAAGTTTTAAAATGTAACCAAATTTGTTACTTGTTACCGAAGCTGACAACCCTGCATCAGATTGAGTATAATGGTTGACAACTCATTTCTGAGTATACTTATCTGCTAGGGTGGCTAGTAAATCCCTGTTGCAGATACCTGCTCAGGCACATTTGTGGCTTATACTGTAACTATGCTGAGCAGACTGTAGTTACACTTTCTAGGAGAGTGCACACATTCAATGATCGAGTTTTGAACAAGGCTACGTAATCATGCTGGCTTCACCTTATGCTAGGGGCAGAAATGGATTGCAAATTTTAACACTTCCAAAATGAAACTGCTTTCTGTTAACTGCCTGAGAGAACCCTTTCTGTCTTCCTGATGGCTGATGCTAACCTCCAGGAAAGGAACTGATTGTGCCTTCATTGACATGAAGTGAAGTAAATATATTGAATCAGTTGCTATGTTTGCAGCTATTATAGTTGGAACAATGATCAAGTTTTGAACAATGACAATACACTCAATATCTTCATCACAATGGCTTGACTTTATGTTAGAACAACTATCCAAATAGTTTTAGTATCTGTCTATATTTCTGAGATGAGGTATTATGTGCACTATTTACATTATTCGGACTATTGTCCTCATCTTTGTTACCATATATATCTTTTGTCTTTCCTTGCAATCTAAAAGAAATCATCTGTTATTTATAAGGTATTTGCAGGGTGTAATATCCTCGATTATCCAAACACTTTAGGACAAGGCTTAAAAAAAAAAATTAGTTTGGAGAATTTAAAATTCAATGATAATTGAATACCTAAATTATCAAAAAAAAGAATGAAGAAAATTAAATTTAACATTTATATCAGCAAATGCTTTGCTCATCGTTTTGTCCAGTTTATTTTTTTTATGAAAAAAATGGATCAATTTTTTGTCTGTTCTTGACTGGCTTTGTATTTTTTTGATGCTAATGCCTGAAGCAGAATTAAACCAGATGTATTTGTCTGGGTCGCTTCTGGTTGAAAGCATAATCAACTTAAAAGTTTCTCAAACATAATTATGGTTTTAGTGTCTGGAATTGGGCATTGGTTTTTGAACTTCAACCTGGGTAATAATCCTTGCAGTCATCATCCTCTTTGGCCTTTTCCCTGTGTGGTTACAAGTTCAACAATATTCTGGTCACCTCAGTGTTTATATTAACGACTGTTGATTTCAAACTCTTAGGAATGACTGCAAAACTCTTCCCCCACTCAATTTATAGACAGAAGCACACAGATGCATGCTGGGATTTTTTCCTAACCAATAAAATATACCAGTTCTTGGTTTCATCTGACTTAGTCCCTCTCTGTCTTGTTTTAAATTAAGAACACTATGTTCGCTTATCCAAACTTGCTCTTGTGACTCAACTTAGTTTGTGAACTTTTGCCTTATTACTGTTGCTTTGCCTTATTACTGTTAGTTTGCCTTGCATATATTGTTTGCTTTCTTTATATTATTTTTGCCCTATTCTTTTTTCATGTTAGTGCTTATTGCAAACTTTGTCAATTCTATTTGGTAGACAGTTCTGTTACTTATTTTGTTTTTAACCATAGATACCCACTCCAAAAGGACTATCTGCATTGAACCATTCATTAGTTTCTACTTCACTTACATTGATGTCCAACGCTGGAAATGTTACTATTGATGTTCATTTTCCAATGTACAGATAATTTTTTTTACTGCTTATGAACCCTTTGCTGGTTACTTAAAGCCAGAAAATATTTTTAGATTCTAAGGATTTTTTTTTAGATAATAATGATTTAGTGTCATAAGTCTTACTAATTAATCTATAGTGGGGGGAAGAAGTGGATTTATACCTTTCCCAACATAAGTGAATATAACAAACCCAACTGGAATTGGAACTGATTAAAAATTCTGAGCCACTATCAATTACACCACCAGCACATCCAATCTTACAGCACCTAGTACTCACAACTGTTCACCCATCTAGGTATTGACCAGGCTCGATATATAGATAATCAACCTGGCCACTCGCATTCAAGGATACCCGTCTACTAGGGAGGCCAGCCAATCCCTATTGCAGATGCTTGCTCAAGTGCATTTCTATTTATTCAACACCCACATAGCCCACCTGTGGTTTTTTTCTGCAACTCTACTGAGTAGACCTTGGTTATAGTTTCTGGGAAAGAGCGTGCTATCTAGCATGATCAACGATTTGAACAAGGCCAGCACACTCAAGCCCTCAGCCATGATGACTTGACTTCATGCTAGCACAGCTATCAAGAACTCCCAAAGGTTCCATCTACCCAGTTTTACTCATAAGGCTTGGGTCAATGTGGTATGGTTTTCAGGCACTTTCCAAAGGTGCCGTACGCTGGGATCGACCCTCCAGTCCAATAACATCTGGGAGTTTCCTTCTTGACAAATTGACCATGGTGAGATTTGAACCTGGGTCGCCTGGTTGGAATGTGAACATTCTAACCACTTGGCCATATGCCCAGGAAGTACCATAATAGCAAAGACTCAAAAAAATATGCCATCATTTTCAACAGTGCAGGTAAACTCATATTTGATAAATTAGCAAAGAGTTACTAGTATTGCCTTTGACGATTTTATTATCCCTACCAAAATCTGGTAAAATACTTGAGAAATTGTACAGGTGATTTTATTGGTACTTGTCAGGTTGGTGATCTTAACAGATTCCATGTTGACCTCAAAAGATCTGTGGAATGAAAAAGTCGTATATGCAACTGTGACTTTTTTTAGTAGTAGTATCTTAATTGGATTTTTATTAGATTAAGCATTGCTAACCACTTCTGTTTAAGCCAAAATAATCTTTTTTAATCCATCTGTTTTAATGGTTAGAATTATGGCTACAAAATTTCTAGTGCTACTAATAGTGCCCAAGAGATTGTTTGGTATATTAGTTTTTGAAAATATCAAAATTGTTCAATCTTTATTAGCAAAGGGGTAACAGTGTAAATATAATGCTAAACTTACTTTGTGTCCATCAGGTTAACTAAACCAAATCTTTCTTTTTGTTTAAAATAGACATTGAGCTGAAAATTCAAAGACATTTTTAGACTGTGGCATTCAATTTAAAATGTAAGTAGAATTCTAAATTGACACTTTTTTAAGTTAGCTTTGTAATGGGGTCAGATGTTGGGCATGTGTATATGTATTTGTAGTAGTAGTTGATAGAGGAATCCATTTTGTTTTTTTTTATACTGAAAATGAAATGAATAAAAATGTACAATGATATATGTGTTGACATTAAAAAAAAAAAAGAATGTGTATTTTTCTTTTTTTTGTGATGTGAATTACAGATATTGGTATGCCATGGTGTGTTCTAAAAATGTTCTCAGTGTTACTGTCTCTTGTTTCTTTAAAAGCTTGTGCTTATTTGTTTTTTGCTTGTTCTAAGAATTTCATTGTTAAGGATAGCAACTTTCGATTTTCCAGAGGGATGGTAATATGATGTGTTGTGATCTTTTTACTATTGCTACTTGCTTATTCATGATTATACTGTCCTGTCTTCGCTTGTGGTGGAAGGGTCGTCTTTATACAGTGTGACCCGGATATAAGAGAGATTTTCTCTGGTCCCAAATTAGAGCCTGTGTTAATGTTTATAAAATAGACTAAACTCGGATATAAGAGAAACCCGGATATAAGAGACTTCTTCTCCGATCCCGACAACTCTCTTATATCCGGGTTACACTGTAATCAGATTTTTTAGAATGATGAAATACCTTTCTCATTTTTCATCACTGGTGGCAAGGTTGTTTTAGAATCAGGAGCGTAGCTTGGGGTGGGGTCAGCCCCGAACGGCACTTTTGATCTGCGGTGAGTTTTCAGAAAAGGAAAAAAAAAAAAAAATTTTGCAAAAAAAGCGGCAATTAGGAAGATTTGCTTCATTTGAAATCCTATTTGTCTTTGATAAGCAATAAATAATAAAAAAAAATATTGTCTTCAACTTCAGCTAGTGGGGATAAACCCTGCTTACAAGACATGAGTAAAAGTCGTGGAAAAAAATTGAACATTTTAAAAAGGGCTTGCTTTGGAGTTGGATTCATTAAGTGAATTTAGTGAATTCACAGTTTTTTCACACCTATGTGAGAAATCCAAACTTTGGCATGAGTTCTTTGATTTTGATTTCTCATGTCTGTGAAATGGTAGTGAAAATAAAAATAAGTGAACCAATTGTTTTTTTAATCTTATCATAGGTCTGAAAATCGTTACTTTTCATAGATTTATAAATAAATTGAAATAATTCCACCAATGCTTTAAAAAGGATTTCACATGCATTACATTTTTTTCGGAAATATCGAACAGAAATTTAAGGAAAATTGAAAAATAATATTTTTTATAAGTGTAGAAACTTTATTGAAAGTTCAAAAATTGACATTTTTTTTTTCAATTTACAAGTTTTCACGGTAGTAAAACAATGCAATTGCAATGCTTTTTTTTGTTTATAGTTGAAGCAAAAAAAATAGACTAATTAAAACTTTTGAAATGTTTGTTATCATACTTTTAAAAAAATTAAAAGTTTTAATTTAAAATAACATATTTATTTCAGTTTTTAAAAGTGAAATTAATTTTATCGGAGTTTTAATTCTTTTCTTAGTTGAAGTTATTTAGCCAAGTATTAGACTAAGTAAAACAAAATAATTTAAAAAGGCATTGCATTTTTTTTTACATTGTTAAAAATAACAAATCGTGTTTGTTAACGTGGCA